AAATTTTCTCTTTGAGGTACAGCAGGTAGAGCTCTGAAAATTGCAGCATATGTACAGCCAGGTTGAAAAAAATGGCAGGGTGAAGTAGTGTTTTTTTCCAAGCCAGGAACATTCCTCTCAGTCCACTATAGTGATCTGTCAGAAAAGCCGTTCAAACTAGGAAATCGAGGTTGAATCTTGACTTTCGCATTTCTGAGGAATGGTGCACCTTGTTTGCTTGGTTATGTATTGCTGTAGAGCCGAAGGGTCGCCAGCTTGATGAACAATTTGATACTTTGTTGAAGAGGTACTCTAATGCTGTAATGGGGGAAAATAACACTGGCATTGGAGCTCGCAATGCAAAAGGTGGAAAGGGGAGGTCGCGTACTACCGGACGGTACAGAGCTGGACCCCGGTCATCCAAAGAAGCGACAGGGAGTGAAACCGTAACAGGATCTAAACCTCGTGGTGCAGCACTGTTGGCTGTCTGCAGAGGGAAGGTGAGTGTTTTTTGTGTTGGTTTCTGAGGTAGCTGTGCCTGGGCACACAGGCTGTAAGATGTTCATTGCGATTGTGTCAGTCTCCAGAGGCTGTGAGCAGCTGTGGGCTATAGCCCTGATTCTGGGCTGAACATGTTCTCCAGTGTGACATATCATTGATTGGTCTCATTAGATTGATTACAATGTTAACCGGATCCAAGTCATCAAAGAAGTCTCATCAGTATTAGCAAACAAAGAATATTTGCCATGCGGTGCGCCGTGCGGTACAGTGCACGCGGCCAAGTGAGCAGGTTGCTGATGCGCACACACCGCGCGCAACACGCACACAGGTGCATTGCCGCAAGGCTGTGCGAGGCTGCACCTGATGCGCGCGTACAGGTGCATGTTGCTTTTCCCTTTGTGTGTGTGTGTGTGTGTGTGTGTGTGTGTGTGTGTGTGTGTGTGTGTGAGAGAGAGAGAGAGAGAGAGAGAGAGAGAGAGAGAGAGAGAGAGAGAAGAGTATGAAATGTGTGTGAAAGAAACGGATTCAGAAAACGAAACAAATGCGAGGCAACGCCCGCTTAGCCCCTACGGGCCCTTATTTGCAGCAAGGCCGGCCGCCCTAAGTGAAGGCAGGCACGACAGGCCCTCAGGGCCTCGTTTTTCAAGGTACCCCGCAACTGGGGAAATTCAGGCAGTTGTGCAGCGCCAGTTGGTTGAATGAACTCAGGCCCTGGGCCGCCTGTGTGAATGAATGTAAAGCAGGCCCTGGGCTGGATACGGGTACCGGGCCAAGCACAGGCCGAAAGCAGTTGGGCACATGCAACCACTTCAGGCCCAAGGCCTGCGTTCTTCGTGACTGGGCCTCAGGCTACCGGGGGCCTACTGGAAGCTTCCTGGACTGGACGCAGGCAGGGCACTTCAATATAGAGAAGGGCCTGCCTCCTGATTCGGCATTCGGGTGCTGGCTGCATGCTGTGTGAGCGCTGCTGCGCAATCCGCTGGCTGGCTGGCACTCACGCTCTCACGGGCGAGTAGGAGGGAGCAGGCAGCCATAGCCAAGCTGCGCTGCTGTATGCTAGGTGAAGCGCAGGGTGTCCTTGGGGTGCTAGTGGCATCTGTGCGGTGTGGATCGGGGATGTGAGTGTTACGAGAGACATACCTGGTGCTGAAGCGTGCGACATTGGTCGCCATATGCTCGTACTTCGGGAACGCTGTTGATGTCATCATTGTGCTTCGTAGTATAGGCTAGATAGGATCTGCCACATGTAGTCGGGGCGCCGAGCGCCAATAGGATATCAACTCTGGCTCGTAGTTGATGATGATGGGACTACTTCAGCATTTTCAATTTTGAACTCTTGGTGTGTTCTTATTTGGTGTATCTCGTGATGCATGTCTGCTGTGGTTCGAGGTCAAGACTATCTGGGCTCATATTTATGATGCTGTTTGATTGATGAAGTTCGCTAATGCTCATCTTCCTTGCACAAACCAAAAAAAAAGAACAGTGCCACCCTCATCATGACAGGATCGACCCTGAAAGGGGGGTCATACATCAAACTGATTCCAAATGCATTGCTGGAGGGTGGCTGGGGCATTAGTCAGACCAAAAGGCATCACTTTAGAGTCATTGTGGCCATAACTAGCTCAGAAGAATGTCTTGGGCGTATCTTCATCCTGATTGCAAGTCTATCTTAGAGAAATCTTTACAACCCTATAACCTCTTCAGCTGTTTATTTATAAGGAAGGGGAAACAGGCCCTGCATTCTTTACTGTTATGGCATTCAAACCAGTGCTGAAAACCCAGGAGGGCTGGGGGCGCCACCCCTGACCGGAACCGGGCCAGTCCTACCGGCCGATCCACCAGTGTGGCTCGCCCAAGGTGGGCCATAGCGCATCGAATGTGGGGGGTCAGTTCAATTTTTTTTCGTGCCATGAGGCCTCCACGGCCTGCATGGAGGTTCTCTGGCCCAAAAAGAAATCGAACCGGGTCTGGTAGGCCCCCCCAAAAGGCTTGAAAAGGGCAGCCTATCCGGACCGTTGATCTGGAGAGATCGGCGGCCCAGATAGGTTGCCGTTTTCAAAATTTCTGGGCGAGAAGTACCGGCCCTACCCCGTCCATCGGCCTACCTCTTCCCTCCCTCGCCTGCGCCCAGCCTACCACCCGTCCCCTCTCCCGATCGTTGGACCCTCGACAGTCGAACAGCCAGTGCTCCGTCCCCGTCGCCTCTATCCCGTCGAGCCCGTCATCGTCGTCCCCACCATCCCTAACGGCCACCGGTCTTCTTCGTCTTCTTCTTCTTCTTCTGCTAACTACCCTGGTAGTTGGTGTGCGCGCCCGCTGTTTGGTGGGCGCGCGGTAGTTGGTGGGCGAGCGTGCTTGTTTGTGGGCGCGCGGTAGTTGGCACGGTATTTGGTTGGAGAGAGAGAGAGAGAGAGAGAGAGATTTCAGGGGCACGGCAGTTGGCATAGTGGTGAGCGGAGGTAGGGCGCTCACAATAGTTGGCTCCCCCGCAGCACTTCGCGCGATAGTGTGTGTGTGTGTGTGTGTGTGTGTGTGTGTGTGTGTGTGTAAGAGTGTAACCCGCATAATATGACATGTTTACGGTATGATACGGAAACCGCATCATAATCAAGCTCCAAAATAATGTATTGGCGCACCTTAAGAATGAAAACTTGTCGGCGTGGTGCAGACGCACCCGGTACTCAGAGGTGGGGAATGACTATGCAGGACTACACGAGCAAGCTCAGGAAACAAAACCTTGTAGGCATGGTGCAGACGGAACCTATACTGTAAGGTGGGGAATGACTATGTCGGACTATACGAGCACTCATGCTCCCACTGCAGTTTGCGGGCGAACTGGAACACACACTATCAAACAGACACCACAAGAAAGGGAAAAGAAGCACGATAAGGCAAAAGGTAAGGAGGCAACACCAGCATACTGCAAAAAGGCACAAGGACTGGGGGGCACGGGGGAGGTGGGAGGGCAGACCATACATAAATGAACAAAATAATGAAAGACGAAAAAAAAAAGACACCCCAAGCATAAGACAACAGGCAGCAGCAAAAGTCAATGGCTGGAGGGCACGGGAGAGGCGGGAGGGCAGACATCACTCAAACACACAAAGCAGGCAAGGCAAAAAAACAGCGAAGACCGAAAAAAATAAAAAATTAAAAACCGATGATGACAAGATTGTTTTGTCGGAGTTGCACCGACTCATCAGGAGGCTGAACCCTCAACAATCTGCGGAATCCCCATATTTGATGGTTTGGGTCATGCACCCTTTGACTCTTGTTGAGGGCAGACTCTCCCCAAGCGGAACATAGCAGTGGGCAGCAACCCTATGGAGCACCAGGCAACACAGTAGAGGCAACACGGCTGCACAACGCCAAAAACGACTGCAAGGACCGGCATGGCACGCAGGACAAGGGAATGCATCATTGACGACAAATCCTACACCGTGGTGGTTTCCACGAAATCAAACCCAATCTGCCTCCTGGGAATTGACCCCAGATGCCCCCGTTCACCCGACCACACGAGAGAGAAGAAACTCAGGCAGAACATGCTGGTCGAGGTCGAAGAAGCCAAAAGCATTTGGTTCGTCAACGACCCAGAATATGATGGTTGGGTCTTTGACGGTACCATTCAGGACCCCATGTGCATCTGGACATACAGTCACACGAGACCAGTGACCAAACAGCCAGATATCTTCCCCCCATCAGACATGCCATTTGGTAGAAGCCAAAAAAGTCACCGGCCTGCTAGGGAAATTCCACTCCGACCCAGCGGTCGACCCCCGAGCGATCCAGGAAGAGAAAAAACACGAAGACCTGCTGTGGAATCTGGAACCAATCCGGCATCAAACCGCTGAGTTATTCCAGAACCCAGAAGACGACGGCAAGCACCTCCAGAAAGCAAGACAGATCATAGAAGAACGGTACCCCATATCTGAAACCGCCCGCAAAAGACAAGCCCCCCCCAAAAAAGAACTCACAGACAACAGGGCAGGTAAAAAGAAGAAACGTGAAACAGATCAATCAGTGGAGGAAGATCTCCATTCAGACCAACCAACAGGCATTCCCCTCACAGACGGAACAGTCAAAATCACAATTCCCAAAAATCAGGCAGGAATGGAAATCTCCCCCAAGAAGAACGACCCAAACGGCAAAGCCAAAGAACAAGATACATCCCCCATCTTATGGCTGAGAGAATATATGGAGAAATCCGAGTACGAAGGGAAGAAAGAATTCGACATCCGAGTGGCCTGCATGAAACACATGGAGAAAACAGGCAAATCCGTTACAGGCAAATCTGTTGTGGCAGGCATCCCACAGTTCAACAACTCGTTTGATCTGCTGCTGCGGCAAAAAAGCGAATTGTCAAAATTCAGTGCTTTTAGATATCATGAGAAGAAGAGGGAAAGGGAAGCAGGCTCCTCAGACTCGGACTCAGGACAGGAAACATAAACAGTGAGAGACTTAATAAGAGGCATGGTCCTTAAGAATTGGAAATCGTCCAAGGGCAAGGAAAAGAAACTCGGGAAATCGTCGAATGACACCAAAGGTCAAAAAATGAACAGAGACAAATCACACAAGAAACCGCGACGGTAGCAGCACAGACAAAACGCCTGTTTGAGCAGAACGCATACTATAGGAAAGGACACGAAAAGGAGCTCATCACCATCCAGAAAATTCTTCAGAACACAGCCCCTGCCGACACTGAGACAGCGAGGACAGATAGGAAAACCATCAAACCAGTCCGTCCCCTGGTCCCAGTCCGGTTCAGGAGCAGATTCAATGAGTGGCAGGTAGCAACAGAGGAATCCTTCGCCATGTACACCATCAGCGATGATCATGCCCTGGCTAGGTGCATCAAGGACCACATCCTTGCAGACTGCCCCTTGGGAGTCTACGAGGTAGGAAGGCCTCACCTGGAGCTCTTGGAACACCATCACAACACTCCCCTACAGCGTGCTAGCGAACAGATTATGCACGACAGAAGTGCTGGCGGACTCGCTGG